TTATTCAGTTCCAAAGAAGAATATCAGGGATTTCTTTTTTTTTTTTTTTGGCATTGTGTGACCCTTACCTTTCTTTTTGTAGTACTCGTCTTCATATCCATCTGAAGAGTCTGTGTGGTAGTTGAGCAGCTCGTTCTGGTAGATCAAGGCGTAGTCCACCTGTTTGCTTTTGTATTTCTTCCCTTTTTTCTTTTTATCATCATCGCTGTCTCCGGAGCTCTTCTTGGCCTTCTTTTTCTTTTTCTTCGTGTCTTCCTCTTCTTCTTCGTCTTCCTCGATCAAGGGCTCCTCACCGTCATCATCATGAGACTTCTTCTTCTTCTTGCCAGTTTTGGACTTTTTGTCCTTGGACCCCATCTCCTCCTCTCCCTCTGGATTCTCTACGGACGACTTCTTTTTCTGCCTCTTCTTCCCTTCAGTCACTTCCTCTTTAAGCCGCTCAGATTTGTCCTTTTTGGGTTTGTTTGTGGCCTCGTTGTTGTTCTGCTCACCCTCAGCATCCTTACTTGAAACCGCAGCATCAGCTTCAGCCTTGGCATCATCGTTTGGTTTCTTTTTCTTCTTTTTCACCTTATCTCCTTCTTTCTCCCTCTTCTCTTTCTCTGGCGGCTCCTGGGTCTTGGAGCGTTCTGTGCTCTTGTGTTTCCTCCGACTCTTTCCTCTTTTCGTGGCGTCTCCATGGGTCAAACCCTGGCCACTCTCCTTTAAATTTGGCTCCGTTTCCTCCACTTCGTCATCAACCTCTTCGGTTTCTTCCGAAGCTGCGGATTTTTTCTGTTTCGACGGCATCTTTTATTCATCCACTTCCCTGGCCTTTAGTTTCGTAAGTGCTGCCTTGAGTTTCTAATGGTGTAAGACAATTCATTTGACCCTTGGCTACGGTTAGATTCTGGAACTGTGAAATCTGCAGGACGCCGGGGATGTAAAGCTGAAGATGTTTGGTCTCCAGGCACTGAAACGGGGGAATCTCCCCCTTGATGGTGTGCTACTTGGGTGGTATATGAACATAAACCACACAAACACCTCTCATGAAAAATTACTGGCACCTCAGCGATCACGTGAGCCACAGGGAGAAAGCCCTGTGAAAAAGGAGCCTTGTCCAGAGAACTTATCCTCTCTGCCACGGCATCCTCCATTATTTATGGTGTCAGGATCGCTTTACGAGCCGGGGGCGTCTCGCTTTTACCTGCGGACACACACAAACACACACACACACACACACACACACACATGTATACACACTTCTTTGTAACTACCTCTCTTTGTTCTTGCATAGAGAAGCTAAATCTGAGTGAATGATCGTTACAACAGGCTGAAAATTACTATCTTGGTTTATATTCAGTAGCAATTAGTTTTTTTCTCTTTTAAGAGTTGCATGTGTAACTTTAGAGAAAGAAACTGTCTTGAAAAAAAAAATCAATCTGACTGAGCTCACAAATTAAATCTAATATTTTAGTTATATGGAGCTTAATCTCAACTGGACTGGATTGTCTTTAGTTAAATAACATGCAGCCTGAGTTCAGTGGACTGTTTATTAATCAGTGTGCTTGCTAAACCTTGAACTGTTCTAATATTGATAGTAAAAAAATGTAGCAAAATTATGGAAAATAAAGAAAATCTGAGACAATAGTCATCAGTGTTTTTATCTATTTTGGGCAAGAAAAAGTGTTAATAAATCCAACACTGAAAATGTAAGGTCATATTTTCTATAAACAGAAAAAAAACAACGTCCTATTTAATGTTTCACGATGGTAAAAAAAACAACAACAAAAAAACAACTACATATCTTCATTGCACTCCTATCCTGCTGGCACCCACATGTGCCCCTGACTATGAGCCATATCATCCCATTAGTCTTATTGCTGCCATCTGACACCTGATGGACTATAGCATCAAGGGGAAGGGCAGAGCATGGTCATATTGATCTGTCAACATCAAATTACCCTACCAAGTGGAAGACAGCAGACCTCATTTACCTCGGTGAAGAATCACTCCCCTACGCTCCGAGACAGAATGCTCTTTCATCCTATCAAAAATTTAAAGCACGGCTTAGCAAGTATGATGCCTATTTTTAGTTTCATGCTGACAAACAGTTTGGACCCAAGATGTTCCTTCGGAGATGTATTTTGAAGCTTTTAAAAACCTACACCAAACAGTGCAGTTCAGTGAAACTGTTAAAACATTTTTATTTTTTTTGTTAGTGCAGAAACTATTAAAACTCAGACAGGAAATTTTTCACTTTGATTTTGTTTACTGTCTTCTTATATTTCACTATATAAATAGATGAGAACATTTAGATGAGTTACACTGGAAAACCCATAGCAAACATGTTATTCCTGACACACAAAGCAAGTGGAAGGGCAGCACAGTGGCGCAGTTGGTAGAGCTTTTGCAGCAAGAAGGTTCTGGGTTTGATTCCTGGCTCTGGTTTTTCTACATGGAGTTTGCATGTTCTCCCTGTGCATGGTGGGTTTTCTCCGGGTACTCCGGTTTCCTCCCACAGTCCAAAAACATGACTATCAGGTTAATTGGCCTCTCCAAATTGCCCCTAGGTGTGAGTGTGTGTGTGCGCATGGTTGTCTGTCTCTGTGTTGCCCTGCGACAGACTGGCGACCTGTCCAGGGTCAACCCCGCCTCTCGCCCGGAACGATAGCTGGAGATAGGCACCAGTAACCCTCCCGATCCCACTAAGGGACAAGGGTGTAAAGAAGATGGATGGACAAAGCAAGTGGGTGATTGGTAAGATTGCATTACTGTATTAAACTACTATGTGTAAAAACGTACCTATAACTTCCCAGAGTTGTTTTTTTTAACTTGTCTTAAACCAAAACATCTTAGATTCTACAGAGTCATTTCAACTTTTACACAACATTCTTATTTTTCATCTGTTTTTTTTTATTGTTCCATTACGTTGATTGATCCACACTTATTGTATCTTTCTATATTTTTGATAGATCTTGCATGTATCTGTATTCTACTGAGTTGTATATATTTCTGAAAAAAGGCTATTTACTTTTTTTTTGTTAGGACGATCTTAAAAACGGCTTTGCAACTCCAGCCCTCATGTTCCACTGTTCTTTGGATGCCCTCCAGGTCCAGCACACCTGAATCAAATGAATGGTTAATAACCAGGCCTTTGTAAAACTTGTCGACATGCCAACTAGGTAATTCAGCCCATTGATTCAGGTGTGTTGGAGCAGGGATGCATCCAAAAGTTGCAGGACAGTGGCACTCGAGGACTGGAGTTGCAGAGTCCTACCTTAAGGTGTAATTCTCTTATATCTAGCAGATAATTATATCTATAATTTCTCAATAACAAGTTAAATTTATTTTTTTTGTCCCTTCAACAAATTATCTATCTTCTTTATCACATTTCCTTTTTTTCATTTTAAAACCCCCAAAATGACATCCATTTCATTGGGATTTTATGACAAACTAACACAAGCATAACTTCGAAGGGGAAAGAATAAAATAGAAATATAGAAAAATAAACATCCTGAACATCCTTGAATCTATGGGCTTCATTCTTTGACCAAGATAACAAGACAACACATTTTACATGTAGAAAGATTAAGTGCTAAAGAACATGTGAACCCTCGGCACACTATAAACTAGAAACAGTTAAGTCATTTTGAATGGCAACTCACACACACATTCACTAATAGCCATTTGAGAAATTCGAAACAGGTTTATTTACAAACACTCAATATAAAGAATGATCAAGAGTTAAGAAGTACCGCATAGACCAACATACACCTCCTTCCAAAACGTAACCTTTTTTTCCCCCCAGTCTTGAGTCAATCCCTTATTGTTGTCAGACTTTTTTTTGGCGTCTATATTTGATGCCATCTGTGGGAATTAAGCACATAAAGAACCTATGAAAATTATAAACATGTTGAAACTCAAAATAAACTAACAAGTTGTAGCTGAGCATAAATAGAGAAGCAAAAATAATAATTTACGTTTGTCTAATCTTTAAAAAGTACAAAAAAAGATCCAGTGTGAATCAGCACAGCTTTCCAGTAGTGAAATGTGTGATTTTTTTTTTTTTTTTTTTACAAATGCAATCAAATCTATGCAGTTCAAAGTAAGATAAAATAACATTAAATGAAATTGTTTTGTGCTACAACAAACAGGGGCAGCAACCGTCATCATTCTTGCACCACTAATCAGTTATTACTATATTCTACAGCCGACTTGGTCTTTCTGTGTTTCCTGTCTTCAGCTCCCAATGCACTGTGAAGAGGCTTACGTGTAAACATATTCCAGTGATCGTTAAAGCAGGCGCACACAAAGCCAAGTATAGAGTAAATTCATGCAGAGCATTTCATGGCAATGAATGCAACTTACAGAGAACGTTTTCCAGCAGAACATGAGCCAGAAAGGGCACATACGTTTTTTTTTTGTTTTTTTGTTACATCAAGCCTTACATTTCCTTTCATTCAAGAGCCAAACCAACATTTAATTCCACTGTAAGGTATTTGTACATAAGCCGGACACGCGGGTGTGTTGCACATTGTCCAGAGGGATTTGATATTCTATAAGGCAAAAATGGCTTAAGACAAGATTGACAGCTGGGTTGTTGTGTAGCAGCACGCTGCTTCGTTTTGTAAAAGTTCTTGCCCCAAACCAAAAAATAATTAAACACATTGGTGTCTCATCTTAAATACTGGGGGTAAGGGGGTGTTTTTCTTTTCTTAGAGAGCAACTAGGCCAGTGAAAACAGGCCTTTTTAGCTGAGTCTGAAAGTACTCACACAGCTGAATAGGAAAGAGGTTACAAAAGTAGACAAGAAGATGTTACTGCTGTATAGTCTAATATAGGCTTGTTTGACAAACGTTAAGCTGCCACACCCACGGACTGTCCAAGAGAAAGTTAAAAGACGGGGCATGAAGCCACTCCCACTGGAGCCCCTTTTCAGCTCAAACACCTGTGCAACCCGGTAGAAAACAACACCTCTGTACAGCGGGGCCACTTCAAAAACTTCACAGAAACAACACTATTATGAAGATCACTTTTTATATTGAACATGAGCATCCTATGGACAGAGACTCGGAGATCGCCACAGTGACATGACAGCTGCAGAGGCTCTTTAAAAAGAGAAACGTGTTCTAGCGAGCAAATCTTCACCACACCGTTGAACTAATCGGAGCAAATAAGTGTGCACTCCAATTGCCAAGTGCATAATCCTAACAAAAACAAAACACATTAATTTAAAAACCAGAAAGAAAAGAAAAAAAAGATCATGTGCAGCGCCCCGTATGTACATGGATGATCCCTCGCGTGTGCATGTGGATGAAGTTAAAAATTTCATGAGGCATAGCGTGGAAGCCTGGCCGTGGCTTCACGTTGTCGTAGTAGTGGTGAGTAATAAAGATGCCGGCTGGATTCATGGGGAACGCCCAGAAACCGTAGAGGTGCACCTCCTCGCAGAGCTCCATGGCGGCCGTCACGAGCATCAGGCCGCTGCTCAGGCGCTTGGCCCGGACGCCCTGCACCGCCCAGAAACGCTGCACGCTCAGGAGATACTGCGGGTGGAAGAAGAACACGCCTCTCTGGGAGTCGAAATCGTCCAGCATGTACTTGACTCGGAAAGACACGTCAGTGTTGCGGGTGTTGTAAAAGGCAGGTAACACCACTGATGAGTTCTCGTAGTTCTGGAGGACTTCGTAAAATGGCCGCCGCCATTTCTCCAGCTTCTGAAATCTGGACAGGAAATCCAACAGGAAAAAAAAAAAAGGATGCTAAGAATATAAACAATGCACTGCAAAGGTGCTTTTAGGCAATTTGAACTTTTTCACATTTTGTGAACAAAGTTTTAACAACCAACACAGAGTCGAAAATAATTTTGAGGCAAAAATGTGCTCAGTAGAGGTCTCGAATACGAATCAAGGGTCGGCAACTTTTCAGCACAGCTGGCTCCAATATTAGCTCATTAGCAGAGCTCTGTGCATGCTAGTGAGGAAGTCATATAATCCAAGCGTGTAGGGGAAGGGTCGCATCTAAAAGCTGCAAGACTGCAGTTTAACACCAATGATGTAAAGAAACCATGAGGCTCTTAGCTGCTTCTATGATCAATATTCTCCTTGTAATGCTAAAAAAACAAACATACTTGTATGTTTCCCTTTTCATTGATAAGTAAAGTTAATAAGTAAAGATATCGATAAGTAAAGTTTAAATCAATGCAGTGTTCGACTTCAGACTTATAATTGCATGCAATTAAAAATATATTCTATAAAATCCCAATAGAAATACATTGACATTGGTGGTTGTAAAAAAAATAAAAAAAATCTTTAATGTCTTTCTAGCATAAATATTCACAGTACCTCTCTGTAATAATACTTGGATTTATGGTCACCAGGTCTGTCTTGGTGCCCACGTCTGCTGAGTATTTCTCATTGATGGGGGGAACATTGCATCTGTAAGAGACAGAGGGGAAATAAAGAATTTCCTTTTTGGTTTCTATCTTTTTATTATTATTATTTTGAATTCATAAGAGCTGTACAGTACTGATGTTTCCTGATGTTTTCCTTTCTCTGGAACTGAAATTTTAGGATGTGAAATACCAAGAGAAATTCTAATCAAAATATATAATTTTCACTCTGATGGCGTCTTGTTCTGATGTCCAGTCAAGTTCAAATGGTGTAATAAACTAATATAGAAGGTAAGCAGGTTTAAAATCATGAAAATTGTGCATTATATTTATGTTTTTTTAAAACATACCCAGGGTAAAAATGACAGGATGACTAAATAGCTTGAGTTAGAGCATATGGTTCAGGATACTTTGATTTTTTTTTTTTTTTCATATGAAAACAAGGATTGATTAAAAGGATACTAGCCTGTAAAACAATTTATTTCAATCTCTCCAGAAATGTTTCTAGCTAATCATCTTAATCTGTCTGAAATAACAAAAGACCAAAACATAATTTCCGGCGTACCTGAAAACAAAATCGGCTGAATCGATTTCCTTTCCGCATTTGCTGTTCTTGATGATGCCACCATTTCCAATGACAGCACATTTTTTGAACTGGGATTTGGAAAATGGCATATCCTAGATTTCAGAAAAATCACAATAGAAGAGCTTCATTAATAATAATAATAATAATAATAAAGATCTCATATGGTACAAAAACTACTTGAAGAGAACATGAACTCACATCTGGGAACATCTTGAAAATCTCCGTGGTAATGGGAAGGATGCCGCTGGTGTCCACCTCATACCTTAGCTTAGAGCCTGAAGGAGTGTTTCTCTTGGTGGTGAACAAAAAGGATGGAGCGTTACAGCAGCGGGACAGAGACATCCTTAGGATGGAAAAACATGAAATCAGTAAACATACATCAGCTATGATGACTGTGCTTCGTCTTTCCATGCACATTGTTGCATTTAAAAATGCTTTATGCAGGACTCCAAGTGAAGAAATGAAAAGTGTTTTCACTATTTTTCCAATTTTGGCACATTGTTTTCTTTAACCATGTATCTTCATGCAGCTTTCAAAATAAAACCACATATGCAATGATGGAATGGAGGTATAAAAGCAGAATAGCCTGTGTGCTTTATTAGCATTTTTTTTGTCTACAATTTCCTCGTTCAGAGCTCACAAATAGCTGAATACTTTTTTCTGATCTTATTTCGAAGTAACAGTAGAAAATGTTTAAAGACATTATCAAAACAACCCATGTTGTGCTGAACAAAATCCCGAAATACTCAAATGAATGACGCTTACTTAAAGTTGCTGGCCTCCTCTTTGTTTTGCTCCCACTTGCAGATTTGTAGGTTTCGCCATCTTTCAAACAGCTCTGAGGTTTTAACCCTGGTGGACAAAAATCACAGATTTAGGAGCAGGTTGTTTATATTCAACAATTAAGCATGGGAGTCTAAAAATGACAATACCCAAACAAAGAGGAAAAAAAAAAAATCTGCCTTGGTAATTTGCCACTGATAAAACTATTTCAGACAATTTTTTTTCCAGGCACCCTCTTTGTTGTGATTATCGAAGAATCTGACTCATGTCGTTATAAGAATGAAAGCAGGGAAGCTGAAAAGGCCTTTAGTCAGAATAACTATGATAAAACTTTTGACAGCCTGGCATCAAATGTCAGTGGATAATAATCCTATTCATTTTAGAGAGAAGAAACTGCTGAGATTGCTATTGGCACCTCGGGCTCATTAAGATGTGCATTGAACCTGAATGAGCAATGAACAAATGCATTATGTAAATGTTATTTATAGCATCCTGGAGAGCAGGGGTGAGCTAGTTTGGTCCTCGAGAGCTACCATCCGACAACTTGTAGATGCATCCTTTTTTCCAATACACCAGAATCCAATGAATGACTCGTTACAAGGCCTCTGCAGAGCTGAGTGACTGGTGGTGAGTCACAAATTAAAAGGGCAATTCATCCGCTTACTTTAAAGCTAGAAAGCTCAAAATGTTTGGAAGTGTAAACGCAAACACTTCTGGGTTTATTTTTCATCTCCAACTATTTCCATTTATTATAGGGAAATACTTGCAAGAAAGAGCTCCTTCTGAGTTGTTGCAGTATTTTGTCTCATTAGCAAATGATAGTATATAAAAACATAACAATAAAAGTGAACACAAGACACACCAAATCTGATTGGCATGGCCTAGAAAAAATTAATTTAGCGACAACTTCACAATTTCACAGAAGTAATTCTGAAGGCTCAGCACACTATGCTTGGGGTCATTGCTATCAATAATCCAAAAGTTGGGACACAGTTATGTTTTTCATTCACTGTCTCAGCATATATCTTTTAATCCATTCCTTTCCTCAGCTCAGGGATCAAACTAAGACCTTTGTTGCATTTCATTTCTCACACCAAGCACATTCAAAGTACAATCCCCACTTACTGAAATTCCTGGTAATACTTGTATAAAAGCCTAACATAACAGTGAGTTTTATTGCGTTTTGCTTCTCTTCAGAAGGTGAAAAAAGGCAAACATACAATAAGGCAGATCTGTATTGATCTTAAATAGTTAGGAAGTAGCCATGCACAATTCTACAGTCAAATCAACATCTTTACAATCAAGGCCAGTCACTGTAAACCTTCCTGGCAGATGAGTGATAATAGTCCAGTGTGAACATCGGCGTCGTCATGAACAAACACTCACATCGTCAGGACTTTGACATCCATAATCTCCTGTCTGAGCTCCCTGCAAGCCGTGGAGTTGAATTCAAAAGAGCCGTCATAATTTTCCAGATACCTGGAGGGATAAACACAGTCATCCTCTGCCCGCAGCAGCTGACACACAAGAGAATCAACAGCTTGATGGCAAACTGTTTTAGTTAGCTACAATGTGCACAAATGAGCAGTAAAATAAACACTCTATTACTTGCCACAGCATGTCTACGGTTTGAGCTTATGAAATATAAGAGTACAGGTAGCACTTTGGGATGAAATAATGAGAGAAGTGATGCAACTGATTTTTTTTGCATCACAAACAGGACAGGAGTATTCTGGTTAATGGACACTTGCACCAGATTCTGTAACATCTTAGACTAAACCAATGCGATAGGAAATATTAAACCTCTTATATTTTCACTTGTCAAACTAGGTATAATGACACTAGCACGGCGTTAAACTGGTATTTTGGGGTTCTAATGTGTTTTTTTCCTCATATAAAAGAGCATTTGAAAAGAAAAAGGTGTTGATTCAAGCTTATCAGGTTAAAATGGGGGAATGGTTACACTGTAATGTCTGGTGAATATGAGCATGAGTGTTTGTGTGTGTTTTTTTTTTTTTTAAATCACAATACACAGTAACTAACACTGAAAATAAGAGGGAATTTTAACTATAATTCATGATTTTACACCAATGGAGACATATACACAGAAACAACTGGTCATGCAAACAAGGGATCATAATATGAAACACTATAAGCTGGCAAATTACTTCAGAAATACATAAATCACTGCACTGAGATGCTTACAATAACCAGAACATTTGCAACAAAAAAATTTTCATACTTTTTATGCATTAAAAATCTGAATAATTTAGCTTAGTTGTGGACTTCAAACTGATTTAATTAAAAATCAACAGGCTGAGTATTTTTGAATATGTGATCAGTATAAGTCAGCCTGAAATTATATGACTGTGTCTGGAATCAGAGAGGGGAAACAGGAGGAGGTATGAACCGTCTCTACTGTGTTTAGTGTGCTTTTGGCATTTTTATTCAGCTAATAGAAATTTTTCCTGAAAAAATAAATAAAAATTTCTAAACTGCATCTTGCTAAAGTCTCTAAAGTGTGTTGCATGTCAAGCAATTATTTCAATTTGTAATTGTTTTCCTACATGTCTATTCTGTACTCTTAAATCAGCTTGATTATTCATTATCTTTAAAGTCTGGCAGTGTTACAGATTTTTTTTTATCCTACAATTTTGAAGGACCTTATTGTGCCTATTTTTGCCATCTGTACAATTCCACATATTTTGTCTAAAATACACTAAAAATAAGAACACATCTAAACTTTTCTTTTTTCTAAATACAAATGAAAGCATGCATGCCCTGTACAAACATTTCCACTGCATACAAATTGCATACTGGCTTGGTCTCACCAATATGGGCCCTATATGGTGAAACTACATGCACGCGTTGTCTTTTACCGTTTTTGTTGTTTAGTTTTGTTTTTTTTCTCAGTAATCTGCAACACCTGCAATAAAGCCACCAGTGGAGAAGAGGCGCTGTCTTCCAGAGATATGAAAAAGGTGCTGAAAGTTCATAACTTCTAACACCCAAAAAAGTTTTTGCATAATAACATGATGGAACTTTCCAGGGGTGTTAATGTGCATGCAGAAGTAAGTGTCTGCATTTTTTATTGCAAGCCTGGGGACAGAGATCCAGTGCTTTCATGAATGGTACTATATGGAAAGCCAGTGATGTCAAAATTTGTGGTTGTGGCTTTAGATTACGGGTGCAGTGCAAAATGCACTCTGTGATAGAAAGCTCTCCAGGAAGACTTCAGTCAAGTCATAGTAGACAATGTTGCATGACTCTGTGTTTTTGTGTTTAATGATGTAAAGCACTTTGAAATGCCTTGCTGATGAAATGTGCTATACAAATAAAATTTGATTTGATTTGATTTGATTATAGGAGGGTTTTCTCCTACCAAATAAATCAATAAATTAATAAAATTTCTTCCATCATGCCAATTCCTGTGGGTGTCCCACTTAATCTATAATCATTATCTTTGATATTGGCTGTGTCATTATTTCACTTTACAATGTTAAGCGGTATTGCATGTATTAATTTCTCAAATGTGTTGAAATATATTGTTAGTTTGAGTGTTGTGCATGTTTTGGAGGCAGCGTGGGTTGGTCGGTAGTCGCAGGGTTAAAATAAACTATTTTAATGTCCTTTATTTCCAATAAGAAAACTTGTTTCCACAACCAAATTGTCAATATACAAAATGCCTGCAGACAATTTTATTCCTTGGAGAATTGCTAAGCCTCTAGTATCCAAAATAATTACGAGACTGACCTGCTTATTCTTAAAAACAAGGCTAAGAATAAAATTTGATTGGTTTCTTTCAACTTGCATGCATATTCAAAACAGTTCCAATAAATTAAAAAGCTGCACTGATATTAGACAGAGACATAAATATAATGTAAAGGCAGAAGAAAAAATAAGCCAAGGCTTGCTAATGGTTATTAATCATGAACCAAAAATAAAAGGTTAGTATAAGATTTGAATCATTTCATAGGAAATGTTCCCTTCATAAGTCAATGCACAGAATGCATTTTACAATGATCAATTACTATATGCTGTTACTACATGCAAAGCAGTTGGGGATAGGCGGGATTTAGCAGCAACAACGTCAGTTTGTTCAAATAAATGATGGCATTTGTTAAATACTAAATGGGACAATGGATTTTGATAGATGGAAAAGTAAACATATTACCTGTGCCTTTGGAAGTAATTGAGTTGAGCGATTTAAAGGATATGAAACAAACAAAATACAACAAGCAATACAACGAAAGTGATGCATAAAAGGAACAAGATGCTGGGATGGAGCTGAACAAAAAAGGAGTGATAAAACTGGTTGTCTACATCCACCTGATGATGCAGTGTATTTCTGAGGTTATTCGGGGTATGTGTAACAGACTTGACGTAGTAAACCCAGCTATCAATTTCTTTTGGTTGTTTTGTTTTAGCTAAGATGATGGAAACCTTTGCAAGTGTGCTCCGTTCATGTCTAAAAGCAAGACATCAAGTAATTAACTTGATGTCATCTCGTAAGGCGTCTAGGACTGACCAATCCAGCATTTTACCTCAGATATTGACAACAGTTATGAAGACTTGGAGATTTGAAAGGGGTGGAAGGGGGTGGGAGGGACTTCCTGTCTTCTTGTAACAGCAGGAAAGTATAATAGGAGGGAGTAAGTCCAGGTCGCAGAGAGAGACAATGCAGATGTGAGAAGGGGAGATAGAAGGAGCAGAGTGTCCACGCTATACGTTACATGGCATACACACAGAAAGCTGTGCAGAAACACATGACACACAGGTTTGGGGGAAGGAGGAGGCATTTGGAGATGGGTGCTGGATGGGGACACAAAGGGACAAGGAGAAGCCAGAACATCAACAGGAGACGGTGGCTCAGCCAGCGTCGGAGGGTGGAAGGAGGTTTGGGGGAGAGAGAGGGAGGTGGGTGGTCGACGGGGTTAGACGGCATGCAAGAGCAAATCTTAAGTGCAACCACCACTGAAAAATATGAGAGTTTATACCTTTCAAACTAATGACAAAGAAAGAAGCATTCTTGGGTTTCTGTGAAAAAAAAGACTAGAAAATGCCTTCAAACAGGCCTACCTTTGAGAGCGTTTTTTTTTCTTCTTAATATCAGCTAGGCAGGGTGTGACTATTACGGAGATCTGTGAATCTGGCTGAATATTCTGACGGAAACATCTGTCAACATGCAGACAGGTCAAGTTAGAGTTAAATGTTGTCCTGTACCATCACCACCCCCTGCCAACTTCCTCAACCTGCAGATTTTCAACAAAAGTAAGAAAAAAAATGTGCTGCTGCTGATGATTCTTGTGCTCTTGCTACAGTCTCTGAGGAGACTCACGGGCATCTCCCAGTCCACACATGCTGGCCTGGGTCGTCTCTATAATCAGTTCTATCTTTCTCTTTCTCACACACACATACTCATTCTTTTTATTTTTTATTTTTTTAATAGAGATATTGTGTAGTTAGTCAGGATGGAAAGGTACCTTTTCCTTCCATTTCTGGCAGGCTTCAGAGATCCGTCATCGAAGAAATTAACGGGGCCGGTCCAATTTCCGGTCTCGTCCCCTTTGACTCGGCTAAACTGTTGTGCACTAGTAAAAAAATCAGTCAGTTTATTTGGTATTTATTTAGTCCTTGTTCTGTGCATACATACATACGTACATACATACAGACAAACACACACACACACACACACACACACACACACACACACACACACACAAACAGACAACCCACTCCATGTATCCACTCATGAATCTCAAAATTGAACATTCACACCCTCAGTTATGCACAGGTTTAAGAAAACAGAGTATGACACCAAACATGGTTTAAAATGATACTTTTTGCTGACGACACCACGATTTGAGTAGTTAGTTCATGCTCTGCTGGGCTGTTTCCCTAAATCTGAGAGAGACTTAGACACTTTGCTGTTCAACGTGGACTTGCAGGAGGGTTAGACTCGTAGGCTGATGTACTAAAAGGCAATGAGCTTTAAAGCGAGAAACAATAATCAGCTTCAAGTTACTGCTAATGTCAAATTGCATCTGAGGGACTGATGCCAACAGATTTGCCAAGTCCCTTGCCAATTTAAAGCCAACAACATAAAGATGCCAATTTAGACCACATGTGAATGTGGTCTAAATTGGCATCTTTATGTTACTTGTAAAGCTTGTTACTTGTAAAGAGGATGTAAAGAGAACATCAGTTTAACTATTGGTGCTAATTTTTTATATATTTTTTTGTGACTAAAAATTTGGTTTCTAGTTTAAAAGTATTAGATTTTAGGGAGATATTCTAGTTGAAACCCAGTATTTTTGAACAAACACATTCCACCTATCCAAGCACGACGGGGTGTAAAACTTTTAATATGCGACTGACAGTCACGCAAGTGTACATGTGAGTCATTTCTGTGAGTGCCCCGTGGGCGCTGAGCTAATTTCAGAGGGGGAGAGTGAACCCTAAGAGCCTCTCTGGATGCATTATGTGAGCGAGCGTTCATCACGGGGGACTTGTGTCAATGCCATTCTGCAGGCGCTTTTAGCCTCGCTGAGTGCCTCTCCAGCATCTCCGTCCCACTCTGCGAAGCAGCGGTAGGAGTGAAAATCCTCAAATCAGAGGAGTTTTTGATGGGGGGGGGGGCCAGGAAGGGAAACGTGCATAAAATGGAGCATAAGCTAATCAAAGCAGAACGATTAAGGCCCCTAAAGCCTGCCTACTGAAAGTTGATTACATAAATCTCTTAGTCTAATGTCTTGAATCCAACGATGAGGAGAACTTTATTTACCCTGTTTACCACAATGGGAGCTGGACCAGATCCCATCTAAGTGGGGACTAGACCATTTATCTGCTGCCGCTCACTTAATTATGTGCTCAGTTCAGACAGTAATCCAAGTGTCAAGAGACAAACAAGCACAGATCTGTCCACTTGTCATCCTCTGATTCCACCCCGAGGAGCCTGCAGGCAAAGAAACTGAGATTCTGAAGGACTTTAAACCTGCTTGATGAATGTTCCCTATAAATAAACATCTGCTAACATTGATTCAATTCCTTCCTAGCTTGAGTTTTAATTTCTTATTGTAAAGCCCCAAACGGCACAATTCTGGCATTGTGATCATCCAGAATAAACCTTGGGAGAGTGTTGAGGTGCAGTAACTTTCAAGAGAATCGCAACCAAAAGATTAAGGATAACTCCAGTTTCATGCAGTGGGGACTGAGGTCAACAAGAGAAACAACAAAACTGCTCAAGTGGTCCCAAATGTTTCAAACCCCAAACAGTCATGCATGTACCCTCTGTTTGCACATAGTCTCTTTCTTTGCTGCAGCTGGTCTATATCACCTTACAAACGAGTCAAGACAGAATGCGGCGTCTTACCACAGCACACATTCTGCCTGGGCAATACATCAAAACAGAGTCAGACAAAATCTTAATTATTTATTGGCTGTATAATTAAATGTTTCGTTTCGCAAGAAACAGGGCCACAAATTCAGTAGACCCCTTTCTTGAAATATAAAGATTCAATGTTTTTGTTAGTTTTGTAGCCATTGTGGCATAGTAAAATTAGATTCCAAAAACATTTGGGGTGTTGAACTAGATTTGGATCCTTCCTTTTCAGGGTGGACTGCTTATCCAGCGAACAACTTTAAGGATTTTTAAAAACAAGAAATGGGTGCACAACTTTGAATTTATTTTAGATTGTCTCTAATTATATTAACAAGCTCCACCGTAGACATACACCCTCACTGATATTTGTTGCATGCACCCCAACCACACACATTTTTTAAACCAAACATATCCTACTCCAAAGCTCTTCAAGGGTGACTAAAATTTGGAGCTGAATGTAAAAACAACCCAAAAGTCTCGGAGAAAGATTTGGTCAAGTGAGAACAAAATTGCAGCATCTCCAATGATGATAAAACATCTGCGTATGAATCAATAAGCTGCGTTCATTCCTAAAAAGAGCTGCACTTTGACATTAATCCAAATAGATGTATTTATATATTTAAGCTTTTATGAATGACTTTCAGTTAATTTAAGACAACCTACAATAAATTCAAACTTATCCACCCCAATGCTTGTTGTTTTATATTCACTGAAGCTGAAAGTTTTTAGCCGATAGTCCGACTCACATTTCTAACCACAAACTCTTCTTTCAGACAGAATAGACTGAATGAATTCTGACACAATAAACTCTTTAAAATGGATCATCTCTAGAAGCAGTCAAATCTGCTTACACCCACTCGTCGTGTTTGGACGGTTTCACACCGGCCTCTTCCCAACCTGTGGCGTTTGCTCTAATCCTCCTGACAGAGTATTTTTAGATGTCACCACTGTCTTCCTTTGCAGAAGTATGTCACTCGCAGGGATCAAAATAAGCTACCTGTAGCTCTGCTGTTTTCACAGTCCGTCTTTCCTCATAACCTGATGTTGGGGAATGCAGGCGGAGAGCTGATTCATGGGGACACAGCGCTGCAGAAACTACAGGGCCAGATTTATTGAGTGTAACAATGTTCACGCCTCAGCTCTGACTTTAATGGTTGACCTCGTATAGTTACCGAGTAGCCCTTTTGAAATCTCTGGGATTGATGTGCACAAAGAGCAACAACACATCTGAGATATTCATTGCAGGCACCCAATTGCTTTCTGTGTCGCATGCATACATGCCCAGTTTGCAGGATTATTTGACATCCTCTTTGTGAAGCCTGAGTTTAGGTGGCGAGGAAGCTGGGTGTGGTCAGACCCATGTGGAAGACTTCCTTGTTGTTTACACTGTTAAGATGGCAGCTTCTCTTTTGTCTCCCTCGCTCCGCATTTCGCACACTCATGCAATCACATTCATTTCATCACACCCTTTCGCAGTCTCTCCCCCACCGTCTCCCCACTTGTGCTGACAGACTGTAGCAAAATGGCTGCCGCTGATCCCACTGGAATCCGTTGTGAAGCTCGTTCCCGCCTCTTTCCCATATGGGCTTGGTGGAAAAAGCAAGGAGTAAAGTCAGGGGTGGGCTTGGTGGTTGGTGGGGAGGGGGGCACAGACGGAGAGAGGTGCGTGAGCATCGGCTCTGAATTCATGGATCTCTCTTGGGAGGAGTCAGGATGCATGAATCCAAACTGAGTTTTATCAGACTGGGCCCAGCAGGGTGACAGAGAGGGGTGGGCTTAGCTCATCCTGCAGCACATGTATGTTTGCGTTGAAGGAAGCATATATGTGCTCTCTCTGCAAGAAGAAAAGTATTTAGATGTCCTGTTCTTGAACTGAGAAATGGGTGTTCCTTGTGAGTTGTTTTTTTTTTTTTTTTTGCAAATGGCATAGAGATCTAACATCCCAGCTTCTCTGCATCTGCTCATCTCACGCTGATTCTTTCAGAAAGCGTGAAACCTCCTGAGAGTTTGGGAAAGATAGCTCGTAGAATGGGTTTTAAAAGAAAAAATAAATAAATAAAAGGGGCGTGAAAGAGGACTCCTCACATTATCTTGCAAAGCTGCAAAAGACACAGCTCTGCAGTGTGTGGACCAAAGAGAAATACACATCATCTTTTTAACATGCTGCTATCTGCAGCCGTCGTAGTAGCTTTCATTTTTACACTGTCGGAATCGGATGCCTCTAAAAGATGTAGGCTATGACCAGTCAAGAAGGCTGAAACAGAAAAATAAAGGCTTTTGGGGAAAAAAAAAAAGAAACAAAAAGAAACAAAAACAAAGGGAAAACATTACCATATACAGCTGAAGCGCTGTTTATGGTATGATTCATGATGCTTAATATTCAGAAAACACCAAAAAATAAATTCTATGCTGCTGGGAAAAAAAAGATGGATGGTTAGTTGCTATTGTTCTAATAGGCCATCTAATGCTTGTTTACCCCTGCTTCTCAATGTGTAGTTCAATTCAAAACACTTGCATTTAGAATGAGTAATTTTCTTTATTTTATCATGCATATTATGTCTATCATTACTAAACTATTCACTAGTATGAAAATGACTATGAAAGCATGCTTTTTTTTTTTAGAGCTGATTATTTTATCCTTGCATTACAAGCGAGATTCTAATTGGAGGAGGAGATCAATACTTACCTCTTGATGTAGTTTTTCCCATAAAGAATCTGTTGTAAAAGCGTGACGAGTCCAAATGCGCAAATAAATATGAAACACAGGGATCTACTGCCGAGTATATCTTTGCCCGACGACGGGTCGGTGTATGCCATCCTTCGGCGCAGCATCCAGAGCTGACGGTGACACCCGGGTAGGTGTCTCTCTGCGCCGCATCCAGAACCAGGATCACAGGTGCCTCAATACCCGCTGAGCTGAGCTGGACATTGTCCGCCACCTTTCTACGCCGTTTGTCCGCTCTCAATCCAGAGCATCATTGTTGATGGATGGAAAGCATCATCTAATTCACTAACAGATCTGATGGTTTCTGCAAACACATCCGATTTCCCCACGCCTTCCCCACCCAGCACCCCCCAAAAAATCTGTGGTTTCACTCGTTACGCAAAGGTGGTCTGATGAAGAATCATCAAAGGGTTCTGAAGGTGCGCCTGGTTCTTGATCTCAACGAGGTGCAGTCGCTCGGTCCGATGTAGGCATCGCAGGTTGTGGAGAATAGCGGAGAAACCCCCCCCCCGAAGGGTTAAATTTGGAGGGATACGCAAAATACGATGTGAGGCTTCATCCTCCTGTTGGCTAACACTAATCTGCTGACATAATATTGACAGGATACATTCACATCCCTTTGTGCCTCATCTCAAATCTGTGCAAGGAGACGTGACTGCAATGAAAAAAGGGAGGATGCGCCTTTTCTCAGCCAGGCCGACGGGAGCGCGCCGCGCTCCTCTCACATGGTCCTTACTCAGCGAAAGCCCAAGGTCATGGACTGCTATTCAAGGATGCACCGGCGCACTCACAACATCTTCGACTATCTAGGTCACACGAGGGTGCAGGGAATTGTGGAGAGGCTGCTCCCAAACTGTCCTGGTACGATGTGAGCTTGATTGCAAGC